GTAGCCTTTTCTGGGCTGGGAGATGGCTGAAGAAGAGTGATGGGGGCTGGTCCCTAGGCTGTGTCTTACAGAGTCACTGCAACACCCCATATCTCTGATGCTCTACGAAGGCAGACAGAGTGCTTTCACAGCTCTGGGCAACGTGAAGTGGAGGGTCCTACAGTGGAGATAGGATCTCAGTGGGAGAGGAGGTCTGAGCAGAAGGGTCTAGGCTTGGTCACCTGCCCAGGCAAGACTGTCACAGATTGAGTTGTGGCAGCAAGACCCCAATATTTCTTGGGCACCTGTCTGTGCCCAGTTCTCTGCTTGACACTTTAGAGAAATAGAGACACTTAGAGAAATAGAAAATATTGGACAAATAAATGGACAGATTGTCGTTGTTGTTTAGTCACTAAGTTGTGTCCAACTCTTCTGGGACCTTATGGACTATAGCCCACCAGGCTCCTCTGTCCATGGGATTTTCCCGGCAAGAATACTGGAGTGGGTTGCCATTTCCTTCTCCAGGGGATCTTCCCGACACAGGAATTGAACCCACATCTCCTGCGTTGGTAAGCAGATTCTTTAGTACTGAGCCACTTGGGAAGCCCAAATGGACAGATTGATGGGCCTTATTTTCAAAGTTGATATCATGGAGTCCAGAGACACACACATACCATGGCCCACACACACTGACACACATTCCTCATACCCATACCACCTACACCCATACACACCTGTGCACGTACCCCTGGCATGCATGCACTCGTGTGTACAGGTACCCATGTTTCCAAGCACATGAACACTCTTACACACACACTCCCCTGCTCGTGTGCACGCCATGCCCCTATGCACACATTTATTTTGGAGCAAGATTCCCGAGTCTTGCAAGCAGTAGTTTTGGCCACCGCCTCTCTCCCCGCTGGCCTCTCATCCCCGCTCTGGGAGGGGTTATCTGGATGCTCTGTGTGGAGTCCTGCTCTCCTCCGGCCCAGCCTCACCTTACTCTGGCCTGGCGGCCCCAGGGCAGTGACTTCATCCTCCAGAGCCTCTTTGCCTCAGTCTGCAAACTGGGGCTGTTGGTTCCCGCCCTGCTTGCCTCACAGGGTGGCACCGAGCATTCCCATGAGATAAAGGAAAAGAGTGTTTTGTAAAATGTAAATTGTTTTCCAAACAGTCAATTGCTGCAGTTGTCCCAGCTCCTGAACTCAAGAATCCCTCCACCTGCTGTAAACCCTGTGCTGGGATGGGCAGAGACGCTGTGTGGAGGTAGTGGAGCAGCCTGGCCAATTCTGAGGCTCCATTACACCTGGAGAGCCGGAGGGGCACGGGCGGCTGTGTCTCTGGGACGCAGGCTCCTCTGCCCTCAAGCTGTGAGGGGGTCTGCAGTCTGGTGGGGGTTGGTCAGCATCTTGGCCATCTGGCTGCAGGCTCTGGGGGTTGATGAGAAATGGCAAAGGAGAGTGAGGGGAGGAGGGTGAAGTGGAAACCACTTCAGCAGAGTAGTTACTTCAGTAACTGGAGCATTGTCATTTGATCAAGGAAGTGTCCTCTCAGATTCAGTACTTACCTGATGTCAGTGGGGGGCCACACCTCCAGCACAGTGGGGAGCCGTCCCAGAGGAGGAAGCCAGGGTTCCATCCCACAGGTGTGCAGGGGAGCCTGTTGGGCAGTAGCTGGAGCTGTGGAGCGACTCAGGAGACATCACAGACCCTCCCAGCTCTGGTGTACCTCTGGGGGGCTCGGGGGCATCACGTGGGAGTGAGGCCAAGATGTGGGTCTGTTGGGCACCCCATCTTCTTTTCTTCTCAGCTGTGACTGGGAACCAGGATACTGAGTGGCCTTCGGCAGTTTCAGGCGTTTGGATATGGGAGTCAATGGAGACCCAGAGGCTGCTCTGTGAGCACAGTGATGTTGGAAAGGGGCAGTAGTAGGTACTTTGAGGAGCCCCTGACCAGAGGTCCCCTTTGTGGTTCCCATCCTTCCAGTGTAGCCCAAGCCCTGCATCTTAACACCAGGGAAACAGAGGCACAGAGAGGCAAAAGACCAGCCCAAGGTCACTCTGAGAGTAGGAGTAGAACCCAGGCCTTCTGTCTTAGCCCTGTGCTCTTTTCCATGCCTGGGAGGATGGGGCTCTTGCTTGAGGACCCATTTTATGAAGGATAGTGACCCCTCAGGTACTTGCATGAATGAAGCCTACTTGTAGCAATGGGCTTCTTGGCTGGAGGAGTCAGGATGGGCTTCCTAGAAGAGGAGGTGAAGTCTGGTTGGCGAGAGAGGGTCGGTGAGCACAGTGGGGAGGAAGTTGGGCCAGGCTGTCATGTCTCTCCTTTGTTGAGCCTTCCTGGCCCCTCAGTTTCTTCTTCTTCTCTCCCCACGATGGGTTGTGAGGGTTTCTTCCCTTTACCCTCACTTTATAGATTTGTTCATTAAATCCCCGAGTATTACCTGAGCCAGTGCTCTGTGTGAGCACCGGAACCCAGACTGGCCTTGCCCGTGGGGGCCCACAGTCTGATGCTGGAGACGGCCCGGTGCCGGCCTGACTGGGGAAACGGCTGCATGATCTGGGGTCAGTTACTCACCTCCCTCTACCTCCATGGTGGTAATAAAGTCCCTTCCTCCTAATATTTGTAAAAGGCTCAGAACAGAGCCAGGCATATTGAAAGTGTATCGTCTATATGTGTATGTGTGTGTTTATAGAGTTATCAAAGGAACAAGCTAATTGTAGGTCATGAGTAAATGATGCGCAGGAGGGAGGAGAAAAGGGCGATGATGCGGGAGCTTTCTCGGGAGCAGGCAATGTTTTCTTAACATTAAAAAAAAATTGTTCTTATTTATTTATTTGGTTGCACTGGGTCTTAGTTGCGGCATGTGGGATCTAGTCCCCTGACCAGGGGTCAAACCCATCATCCCATCCTTTGTTCCAGAGCTCAGCGTTTTCTGCCAGGCCCCAGCTGGGGACTCCCAGGTTAACCCCACCTGCCTCTCCCTTCATGCTGCCTCCAGCCTGCTGGAGGTGCAGAGGCAAAAACCACTGAGGGAGGTGCTGGGAGGACTTCTCAGAGCAGGAGACATCTGAACCGAGCTCAGAACGTTCCTCAAAAAGGGAGAGCTGGCCCAGTGGAGAAGGAGATGGAGCAAGAGAGCACGTGGTGTGGGCGGAGCGTGAGGCTTGTTTGGGATCAGTACCTCCGGCATTCCAACCTGAACCAGGTGTTCTGGGGCCAGGGCAGCAGAAAGGGAGCTGGGAAAGGAAGGCGAGCTATGGATGCCAGGGAAGGAGGTGACCTTTATCTGGAGCACGAGGGCTGGGGATTTAAGGAGTGAGGATGGGGACAGGTGGAGAAGAGCCAGAGAGGAGGAGGCGGGACTGAGGACCCCACAGAAAACCTGTCAGCTGTGGGCTGGGCCTTTGAGGAGAGAAGAGAGAGGACCCTGGTACAGGGGTCGGGGTACCAGAAGCAGGACAGAGTGAGGGTCCAGGAACCCTCCTGGAGGCCCTGCCAGGACATGGTCTGGTTGGCTAGGGAAGAGGTGGCAGGGGGCAGGGAGAAGTGTTGGGAGGCCAAGCAGAGACGAGGTGCAGAGAGGACAGAGATGGGAGGGAAAATGGTGCATCTTTGATCCTGTGGTTGAAGCCTGAGGTGCCTCAGGACACAGTGGGGGCAGGGGGAGCTGGTGTGACCAAGCCTCTTTCCCCCAGTGCTGTTAAGTAAGAAGCTGGTGCATGGGATCTGTGTGGGCAGGGAACAGAGGCGGCAAAGGCAGCACGAGCAAGGGATCCATGGTTTCCAGGCTGGGAGCGTCTGCCTGCAGCCGCCTCTGTGTGCCCCATTCTGGACTGTTAGCGGAGCGGGAGCCCCCGAGCTGGTGGAGGGGCCTGCCCACCTCCTTGCACTCCACACTCGGGTCAAAGGGAACAGCTCCTCAGACTAGTGGCAGCAGCAGATGTGGAGGTCCACTGCCTTCCTCTCCACCTCAGTTGATCTTTGCCTAGAGAGCTTTGTCCCAGAGGCTGCCCCGCACATGCCTTAGAGGAGGGGAGACCATCCTGCCCAGGAAGGAAAGCAGGACCCATGGTGGCCCAGGGTCCTGTGGGTACTGAGGCAGATGGAGCTGGTCTCAGCCTGTCTTGGTTTCCAACCTCACTCTTTAGTCCTGTTCAACCAGGAAGCAGATGTGAGCAGCCTTACCGGGGGATGCCTCGTCCCTGTTCTCCCCATTCTGGGCCACATCCCCCAGAAGGCCGACTTCTCCACCCCCTCCACTCTGAGCATGACCAATTCAAGGTCTTGCTCATTTCCGGTGATTGGCCTTAAGGTTGGCAGCCACAGTCTGGGGCTGAGTTAACCCGAGCAAAGATCCTGACACCCACCCACCTGCTGCCTGCTTCACTATGATGCATCCTGTGGGGATGACTGTTATTACTCCATTTTACGGAGTTGTGGGCTGTGGCTTGGAGCTGTGAATGTTTGCTTGAGGTCACACTGAGTCACGGAGGAATTTAGCCCCAAGCTTGGAAACCTCACCCTACCAAGGAGTCACCCCCATCAAACAGGGTCCTCCTCGCCAGCCTCTACCTCTGGCCCACAACCCTCATCCCACTGGAAACATGAGGCTCTGGGGATGTGTGGCTCCTAGCACAGGGTCTCACAACTGATGTGTGATTTGACTACAAAATCCTCTCAGTTTCCACCTCAGTTGTGCCCCCTGGGAAAGGAGGCGGGGGCTTCTCTGGCTTCTGAGCCTTTCCAAGCTTTCAGCTACCTCCCAGGCCTTCCTGAGCTACCAGCTAAGCTTGCTTGAGGCTGACCCTCAGCCATGCAGAGGCTCATTGAACCGCACATCCAACCTGGATTGGAATCCTCCTTTTGCCCTTCATCAGCTGGGTGACCTTAGGCAGGTCACAGGCCTCTCTGAGCCTACGTGTCCTTGTCTGCCCAGTGAGGGCAGTGGCACTGTCTGGGTGGCTCCTGGGGAAGTGGGTTCTGGGCCTGACACTGTGTGTGCCTCCCTGCCCTCAGCTCCTGTACGACAGCCCCAAGGCCCGGCAGGAGGTGGACCACCACTGGCAGGCCTCAGGTGGCCCCCACATCGTGCGCATCCTGGATGTTTATGAGAATATGCATCACAGCAAACGCTGTCTCCTCATTGTCATGGAATGGTATGCCGGCCCACCCTCCCTCAGCATCTCATTCGTACCCCTATGGCCCCCACCAACTCCCACCATTCTTTAGGGACCTCTCTGTTCTTCAGATAGCAGCCCCGGGAGGGCCCCCCAGCCCTTGAAGGGTGATGGACCTGGGCAGCCCAAGGGCACTCCTGCACAGGTGGAATCCTCAGGGGCTGTAATATGGCTTCCTTGGGTGTGATTCCCACTCAGTGAGGAGGGACTGGGAGAGCTGTCAGAGAAGGCTGCCAAGCCCTGAATATGGCTGGGATGGGGGGAGACTGGGGGAAGAGTGGGATATATGCTGTCCCCTCGGCTTTCTCACCTGGATTTGCGCTCCCATGGCTCCCCACCACCCGCCCCCGCCCCCAATGTTGGAGCCAGGAGCCAGTGGCCTCCTCCATCCTGGGCTTCTCCCATGAGCCCTGTGGCTCAGCGCTAACCTTCCTCAGAACCTGGGCCCTGGATCTTGGTCTCCAGCCCCTGCCTGTCTGCCTTTCAAGTTCCCCCTCACCCCATAGGGTAGCAGCTCTTAAGTCACATTTGGGGTTCAGATCCTGACTCTGTCACTCACTAGCTGTGTGACCTTGGGGAGGCCTCTCACCTCTCTGGATCACTGTAACTTCCATATAAAGTGTGGAGGGAGATCTTGGTGTGGCATTTACCCTGTTCATTCTAGGTGCTCTGTGTGTACTGCTGAATCAGTCTTCCCAACTCTGTGAGGTTGGTGCGCTAATCCCTGTTTTACAGAAGAGGAAGCTGAGCCACAGAGAGGTGAAGGGACCCACCCAGGATCACACAGCAGTACGCACAAAGGGTTTGCCCAGGGCACAGCACACAGTAGGTGCTCAGAAAACGGTGGTCATGAGGATGATAACTGACATCTCATTCCTCACTTGGGTAAACTTGGATAAAGGTGGGGCTGCCAGATCAAGACAGTGTTCCTGGGAACATAGATGCTCCCTGGGGAAGATCCTCCCCTAGTTCTAAGAGTTGAGTTCAACCCACCCAAGCCAACAGCCCACCGCGCACCAGGCTCTTCAAGACACAGCAAGGCTGACAGTGACTGTTCCCCAGGGGAAGAGAAATAGGTCTGGGGGCCTGGGCCCACGACTCAGGGCAGGGGCAGGTCGATGCCTGATTCTCCCCCTCCACCCCTGCTTTCTCCGATAGCATGGAAGGTGGTGAGTTATTCAGCAGGATTCAGGAGCGTGGTGACCAGGCTTTCACTGAAAGAGGTACGGATGTGCCACTGCACGGGGAGTTTGGGCTGAGATGGGGCACACAGAGTTTCTTTGTGACGCTGGGCAAGACCCTGTCCCTCTCTGTGCCTCAGTTTCCCCAGCTGAACAAAAGCGGGGGTGGGGAGAGTGTTCATCCCCCAAGGGGTTGTGTGAGTCTGTGGCAGCTTTTCAGAGATGGACTCCCATTGGGTCTGGGATGGAGGCCTCAATGCTTCTTGGTGCCAGCCAGCAGCTGAGCTGGGGGCATCTCCAGAAGAAACTAGGGGGACCAGAGTCAGGCTATGAGGTGGGGTCCTTGGTGGCAGGAGTGCACCATCTTGTGCTTGCCCAGGAGGCGTGATGGGGAGGGGCCCCCAGGCTGCCTGACCCTCGACTTCCATCCATGCCTCCCTCCTCTGTCTGTGTCTGCAGAAGCCGCAGAGATCATGCGGGATATTGGCACTGCCATCCAGTTTCTGCACAGCCGGAACATCGCCCACCGAGATGTCAAGGTGAGGCTCCAGGACCGATGTTGGGGGACCAGGACAAAGAGTGCCATTCACAGACCCCAGTGGTCCCAGCATCCACCGGATGGAGGCCATGTTCCTTGATTGGCATTCCAGGCCTCTCCCCGCGGCCCATACTGCACGGCTCAGCCTCTCCTCCCATGGTCCCAGTGTGTTCATTGTGCTCTAGCCAGATAGGTCTCCTTGTTTCCTTCAAGCATATATAATCCCAGTAGCCATAAGAATAAACTAGTGCCTACCTTGAGTCACTGGGTCCTGAGAAGCATCTCGTTTAATCCTCACCCAGCCCTGTGAGAGGGTGCCATTACCCATTTGACAGATGAGGAAACCGAGGCTCAGAGAGCGATTGTCTTGCTCAAGGCTCTGCAGATGCCTCACTGGGGATTCATGCATTCATTTGTTCACTCAGCAAGAATTTTGTGAAGACAGTGTGCCAGGCTTCAGGGGCAGGGCTGCCCAACACTGTTGGAGCTTATGTGAAGTAACAGCCATAGTTCCTGTAGGCAGAGCCGTCTGATGGCAGCATTTTAGGGGAAGGGAGGCCCTTTGCTGGGCACTGGAAAAAGGAGCGGAGGTGATCCCAGCGGCTGGACCTGCTGTCCTTCCGGTGGATGGGCTTGAGAGTGTTCTCTCCAAATTTCCTATCCAGGGAGGACTGGATCTTACAGGTGATCAGGATCAGACAGAAGAAATGCAAACTGAGGCACCTTCACATGCACACACGCACACACATGCATGTGCCAGCCACTGTCAGAGCAGAATTACAACTCCTGGGCCTTCGATCCCCAAACTAGACCCTGACTGCCCTGCCCACCCCCCCAGGCTTATTTCCTCCTAAAACTGGGCAGAGGAGACCCAAAGGTCCAGCCGCTGCATCAGGTTCTTCCCCTGGCTGAATATTGCCAATTCGTGCGGTTACCCTTTGATTTTAGATACACATGGAGCCACAACAGTCTCACATTCTGAACCGTTGCTTTATTTTGGCCCTGGCCTCCTTTTTCTCCCTTAAGGGGAGAAAAGCCTTCTATGGAGAAGATTCCTATACAAAAACTGCTTCCCTGTTTTCCACCCCAGTCCAAGTTTGGATCATCTCAAATAGAATCTGAGAAATAGTTTTCACTGGCTCCAAACTGAAATTCTATGTACTACCCCATCCCTCTGCCCCAGCTCTGCTGCTTCTCTCCGTGGGTCTAGGTCCTACCCATTCATTAGAAAGCAGCTCGAGGGCTGCCTCCTCCGTGCAGACCTCCCCACTGCCTTCATCCCTCAGACCTTCTGTTCCCTACAACCAGGAAGACTAGCCTCTGTGCAGCTCCCGGGGCCTGAGTTCCCCGAGCAACTTCAGGTAGGGGCCTGTTGTGCAGGTTCATTCTGGGCTGGGTACAGGATGTGTTCTTGGCAGCACTGGCTCACGAGCAGCCCCTCGTTCCCCTGGAACCCTCATCTTGGCATCTCATGGCAGCATCACCAACTCAAGCTCAGAAGTCCCTGCCCCTGGGCTCTCTGTGGCACTCAGTTATCCCCAGGCTTGGTGGAACCACTGCCTCAGTTTCCCCTCTGTGAAACAAGGTGTCACCTCTCAGCCACATTAGTCTCCTCCACCTTTGGCCCACGTCATTGGTGGCCGAGACCCAGGTCTTTTTTGGTGAGATGGACCTGGCTTCTCCTGCCTCAGTCTGGATGAGGGAGGGAGGAAGGAAATCTGACTGCAGATCACTGTGGAAATCTGCCCCCACCTGGTGCCTGACTCCAGACTAATGTTTTCTCTCCCTGGACCAGCCTGAAAACCTGCTCTACACGTCCAAGGACAAAGATGCGGTGCTGAAGCTCACGGACTTTGGTTTTGCCAAAGAGACCACCCAGAATGCCCTGCAAACTCCATGTTACACTCCCTACTATGTGGGTGAGTTGCTGGGATGTGGCTGGTACCTCTTTACTGCACCCTGCCCCCCACCCCCGCCCCGATGTGGTCTGGGGCAGCCTGTGGGACGCAGAAACCAAAGGGTTAAAGTGCTGTGAGGAGGGAGGGGAGGGTTCTTGTCTGTGTGGAGGCGGCAGCTGGGGGGCCGGAGGCTGCAAAAATATTCTCCCAAACTTCAGTTTCTGCTTTTGAAAATAGATCCAGGAAAATTCTGGCTCTGGCCTGTGAGCTGAATGACATCACAGTGGCTCTAAATATATATGTGATAAAAGGCTGCCGTCGGCTTGGGATGGAGCCCAAGCGCGGTTGTTTTTCTCCGGTTTTTATCTTCCTGGGAGTCATATTCAGAAAGTGGGCAGGCGCCTCCTCCTACATGAGAGGGAAGCAGGGGACCAGCCACCTGCGTTTTGGGAAAGCGTCCCTTAGGTGAGGGCCAGGATGGGCCCCAGGGCTTCGCACACACTCATGCTTCCTGGAAAAGCTCCCTGCTCCCCTGTGAGCAGGTAGCCCCTAGACCTGGAAAAGCCACCCCACCAACCCCCAGAAAGAGGGGAGAGTGGGGTGATGACTCGTTTACAGACGACTCTTCTCCCTCAGGATAAGCCTTCCGAGAGCTGTTGAAGGGGTGGGAAGCCCCCCGAGACAGCTGGAATGACACTCTGTTTACCAGGACGTGTTTTGCCGTATTTTGACTTAGTAATCTCCCGGCCTACCGATCTCATTGCACAGATGGGAAGACCAAGGCCCCATGGGATGGTTGCCAGGTGAACAGTGGAACCCAGAGCCCTGGCCATGGCCCCTCAATGCCCATGACCTAGGCTGTCTGTTCAGGAGGCAGGGGACACTGGGCAGCTGCTGGGCTGGGGCCCTCTCCCCTATGGCAGGACCCCACCCAACCCCTGACTGCCCTTCTCTCCTTCCCCTACCACACCATGGCTGAGATTGGCCCAAGGTAACTAGGAGGTTATCATCTCTTACAGCCCAGCCTGAAAGTGGGTTTATTTTATCTGGGAGCTGTTGTTCCTCCCCCAACTTCACACACATGCTGCCTTCCCAGAAGGTGCCAGACACCAATCTGCTCTGCCCCATCCCCGGCTTGGGCACCTGCTCCCACCTTGCCCAGCTGTAGGCGCCTGCTGGTGCCCCAAGACCCTTGGACTGAGGTCCTCCTGTGCCCTCTGCCCCGGCAGCTCCTGAGGTCCTGGGTCCAGAGAAGTATGACAAGTCATGTGACATGTGGTCCCTGGGCGTCATCATGTACATCCTGTGAGTACCATCCCTTTCCTGCACCCCCAGGTACCCTTGGAACCACTTCTGTCCCCACCATCTGGGGTGAGGGGCTCAAGCGGGCCACTCTTCCAGCAGTCTGCTCTTCCCTTCTGGTCAGGGGACACCTCTCTTTCAGGCTCCCCAAAGGCCTCCCCATGCCAAGGGCAGCTGGTGTTCCTGGAGATGAACCCTGAGTTGGGGGGCTGATACTATTGCGCTGGTGTCTGGCTGCCTGTCTCCTGGTCAGGGTCTTGGGGAGGAGAATGGGTCCGCCCCGGCGCTGCCCCCACCCCCATGCCGAATGACCTCCGCCCTCCCCCAGCCTGTGCGGCTTCCCGCCCTTCTACTCCAACACGGGCCAGGCCATCTCGCCGGGGATGAAGAGGAGGATCCGCCTGGGCCAGTATGGCTTCCCCAGCCCTGAGTGGTCCGAGGTCTCCGAGGATGGTGAGTGACTCTCTGCCTAGCTCGCTCCACCGGACCCCAGCAGCCTTCCTTCCGGGAGAGACCACTTAGGTGTCAAACCAACCTGTGTTTAGATCCTGGCTTCCTCCACATCCCAGCTGTGTGATCCTAGGCAAGTCATCTCACTGTTTGAACGTCCTTCTCTGCCAAATGGGCTTGAAACCTGCCTCCTCAAAACTTCCCCTAATTCTTGTCCTTCATTCATATTTTCCCTTTGGGGACCACGAACAAATCTGCCCTGTATCAGTTATCTATTGCTGCCTAACAAATTACCCCAAACACTTAGTGCCTTACAATAAGAAACCGTTATCAGCACACTGTTTCTGTGGGTTAGGAATTTGGGAGCACGTTGCAGAGCTGGTGGTCTCTCGGAGCGGGAACTGGCTCTGAGCAGCTCCACAGCCTCACCACTGCCCTCTCTTCGCTAGCCAAGCAGCTGATCCGCCTCCTGCTGAAGACAGACCCCACTGAGAGGCTGACCATCACACAATTCATGAACCATCCCTGGATCAATGTGAGTGCCTCCTCGTCCTGTGGCGGGCCGGGTGATGAGCTTGAGCAGGGCTGCCAAGAGGGTTGACGGCTCCAGAGGCCCTGGGGTGGGCCATGATATGCGGTAGTACCCTGCCTTTCCCTGCCTTTGCTCCTGGTCTCATCAGGCTCCTTCACCGCCCTGAGCCGCGGATTCCCCATTGGAGCCCGGAAGAAAGGGGCTGGCGGTGGGGTGCGGGCAGCCGGTGCTGTCCCAGGTGCTTGCAGGCTCTGATCCACGGGCTTGGGTCTCCTTCCAGCAATCGATGGTGGTGCCTCAGACTCCACTCCACACAGCCCGAGTGCTGCAGGAGGACAGAGACCACTGGGATGAAGTCAAGGTGGGTGGACCATCTTCCCACAGGTCTCAGGGTTTTGGAAAAAGGGACTGCAGGGTGGTGACCTCCCAGAACCTGGGTCTTTGGCCCCCTCTCGCCTCGTGTCAGTGACCACATAGTGGCCTTTGGGCCACACTACCCCATTCAGGGCAGGGCTCCTGACTTGCTCCCTCAGTGAAGTGGAGCTTTGGCCATAATTGCTCTTATGATCTGCAGCATCTGGGAGGGCGGTCAGCTTGCTTTTAGACTCAGGAGAGGCCAGATTTGAGCCTGTGGGGCAGTAGCTCAGAGCCTGGGGCAACCTGGACACAACCTTCAGGTGCTGGTAACCTGGGTGCACTGCTCGATGGTGTCCCCTGAAGGCCCTGTGGTTCTGAGCAGATGACCTTGGTCCACATCCCTGTCCTACTTACCCTTGGTGTTGTCCCAGGGAGTCACCACACTTCCTGTGCCTTGTCTGAGGTAAGCTCAGTCTTTACCACAGAGGACTGGAGTGAGGACTATGTGAGGCAAAGCAGTGGGCCCAGAGCTGGGTACATGGGGGCACTTGGGCAGCAAAGGTGGTCACTGCCATCACTGACATTATTACGGGGCCACTCAGGCAGGAGGTGATGTCTCTTGAGGTCAGTAGACCTGCTCTCCCCCCACACCCATCCCCAGGAGGAAATGACCAGTGCCTTGGCAACCATGCGGGTGGACTATGACCAGGTGAAGATCAAGGACCTGAAGACTTCTAACAACCGGCTCCTCAACAAGCGGAGGAAGAAGCAGGCAGGCAGCTCCTCGGGCTCGCAGGGCTGCAACAACCAGTAGCTCCTCCGACCTTGGGGGAGCCAGAGGACACACTGGAGTGGGCTGAAGCCCTGACCTGGAGGGCTCAGGGTCCTGTTTTTTTAACAAAAGAGTTGTTTGTGTTGTGTTGTGATTTGTCACTTAGAACTTCAGGATGGGGGAACATGACCCCAAGTCCTTCAGAATCGCATCCCAGGGTCAGGCCCTAGAGAGGGGCCAAAACCTGGGCCCTGGGGAGCCACGTGCTGCAGCTCCAGTGCCTTTGATCACTGTGGCCTGAATGCCCTGTGGCTGCATCCCGCCCAGGGCCTGGCCTTAGAGTTCTAGGCCCCTGGGCATTGTGGTTGGGCTTCCCTCCTTCTGTGAAAACAGCTCCCCAGAGGGTGGGCAGATGGGCCTGGCCTTGGGAAAGGCATCCGGCCACTGGTTGTCATGGCGACCAGGGACAGAGTTGCCAGTCTTGAATGCTGAGTGAGTGAGCAAGGGAGGGAGGGGGGCAGTTGAGGGTCTGCCTGCCTTCTTGGGGAGGCTGCCACTCACCCCTCTCAGACTCCCCCCCACCCCTCCGTTTTTGGTCTCCCTGAAGTGTCAGGGTCAGTCTGCCTGGCTCCCTGGGTGGTCTAGCGCTGTGTTGCTGCAACCCCATCCCACAGGGCCCTTGGAAGTCTCCTTCCACAGAGTGCCTGAGCCCAGCCATCCTGTTACGACACCCCCCCTCACCCCCACCCGGAGTGACCTCTTACCTCAGTGAGGGGTTTGAGGGGGCAGATATTTTTAACCCTTTTTTACTTTGGAAAATGTCACTGTGACAAAAGCCAGTACAGTTACCCTGCCCCCACCTGCTCATCGGATCCCAGGCAGGAAAGCCTGTCCTTAAGAGTTCACCCCCTACTCTCCTGGTTGACGGCAGGGCTCGTCTCCTGATGTACTTTTGTGAGAGTGGATGGCTGGAGGCAGGGCTAAGGGGCCCCCCCCTTAATCCAGGGCCTCTTTCTGTACTTTGGGTCAGACTCGAGGCAGTGGAGGGCTGCTGCTTAGAGGGTCTGGTCCTTTCTTTTTTGCCCGAGTTGGAGCAGACAGGGCCCCTCCCTCGCTGCTCCAGGCTCACCCAGCCCCACACTGCCCAGGGATGCTGAATGCCTGATTTGGGCCTGGCCAGTGCCTGGCCCCCAGCCTGCTTCCTGGTTCCTCACCCTTCTCTCACTGGCTGGGAAACCCTAGACCATGTCAGGGAGGATAGCACTGCTGGGTTTTATATCCAGGTATTAATAAACAGCATTTTGGCATTTTTCCCTTGTTCCTGGGTTTCTCATCTACATGAGTGAACAAAAGTAGCCCAAGGGCATGTGCTCACATCCACTAGTGATTTTACTCCTGCCGGACAAAGTGCTTCAAGCCTGGTAGACATGCCAGGCTGGCTCCAGGGCCACCCTGGCCTCACCAGGCTTGGTGAGGTCAAGGGAGCAAAGCGATGGCAGCTGCCCCATGTCCCCAGTGCACTGTGTGTGTGACACCCACCCCCGGCCCGGTGTGCGCTGGCGTCTGCCCACAGTGGCCACCCCCAGCTGTGTGCCAGCCTGCTGAAGGGCGGGCAGAGCGCCTGCTGCAGCGCTGAGCTATTTTCAGAAGCTGCCAGATTTCATTTGGCAGCGAGAGTGTCGGGGACGGGAGGGGGCGGGACGCTGGAGACTGTCTTTTGACTACTCCAGCAACAGAGCACCCTCCGCCCCCCGAGAGCCCTCGCAGGTCGCCCAGAGGAGGGCCCGGACTGTGGCAGATGCCCCCAGCTTCTGTCCTCCCGGGTCCCCAAGAGCTCCTCTGGCACCTGCAGCACTCCCTCCCCACCTCCCTTTCCCTCAGGGTGTAGGGGAGGGCGATGAGATGTTAGAAGGCGGGACAGGCAAGTCGCCTGAGCTGAATGCCACTTCCTGGCCTGGTGACCTTGGATAAGCCTCCCAGCTTTCCCGCCTAGATTTCCTCGGCTGTGTAGTGTGGTTGTTGGTGCCCACCGAGGGGAGTCATACAGGGTATCCTGGCACATGACATATGAAGCACTCATTGGGGTGCCTGGTACGTGGCTGGCCCCCACTTGCCACCCTAGCATCCTTAGCTGTAAGGGAGAGAAGAACCTGAAGTGGCTCAAGGGAAAAGCAGTCCAGCCCCAAATCTACCTCTGAGACTTTCCGCCTAGAAATTCCACCTTTCTCCATCCATGGGGGTCTTACTCCCAAGGGCCTGCTCTCTAGAGCAGCATTGTATGGGCTTCCTGGACCTTGGCCCCAACCCTGGGCTTCAAGGAGGGTAACCCCTCCTTTTGAAGGGCCCTTAGACTCCCCAAATGAATTCTGGGGGCCTCGCAGAGCCTGTGGTTCTGACCAACCCTTGTCATGTACTCAGCTCAGTAAAGTCCTGGTCAGATGCAAAGGCAGGTTAAGTCTGCCTAGTCACAAAGCTGCAGCAGTGCAGACCGCCTCTGTCCCTTGACTGCTCAGCGCACGCTGCTGGCGACCCTGTGCTGCGTGCAGGAGAGGCAGCAGGGGAAGCTGAGGATAGTCTCGCCTCAGGGGGTTTAAACACGTGAGGGAGAAGGACAAAATACCTCACAAGCGCATGTTGAATCATGGGCTTGATATGGTCCACAAAAGAAAGGCAAGGCTTGAGAGGAGGTGTCATTGTGCAGTTTAAATCAAAGAGGCAATTTATGTCCCAGGGTCTGGGGAGGGTGCCTGATAGGTTGCAAGGTTGAAGGCAGAAATTCAGGGAGAACCAGGGCTTTAGGGACAGAGAGACTCTGTGTGGCCCTCAACTCTGCCTGTCTGTGCTTCTCCCGGAGTCTCAGTGTGGCTGTCTGTGAAATGGGAGCAAATCCTTACAATTAGCTTTACCAGGTGAACTAAGAAGCCCAGGGGCCTCATGTTCACATCAGCCTATTCAGACACATGCATTCACATGGACTTCCTGTGGCTTCCCTGGAAGCTTTCAGTAAAGAATCGGTAAGAAGTATATTCATGTGTGTGTGCATGTGTGTGTGTGTGTGTTTGTGTGTGTGAGAGACATTTTTTCCCAGTGATGCTCCCCCTGACCCAGTCGACAGCATCGTTCTCTGTCTTGCAGACCTGGTGCTGGCCCGTTTCCAGCGTCCTGGCTCATTGCTATTCCGCACCAGCCCCTCTCCGCCCTCGATTCAGCCCCTCCATTGCAGTGTAAGAACTGAGCCTCAAAAACGCAGCTTGCTGCAACCTCTGCAGGGGTCTTGATGCTTCCAGGTCTGCCAGAAGCTCTCTCTCCCTGGCAGACATGGGAGAGGCACAGGTCACTGTCTCCCTCCAGACCTAGCTGTGTTGGTTTGAGTCTTTGCACCCCCTGGATCCTAGCAGATGCCCACAAACCCAGCAGGATAAAATCCTCCGCTTTGTCCCTCTGGACAGCCTGCATGTTCACCCCTTGGAATCGAGGCCAGCAGGCAAGGAAGGGTCTGGGAAGCCCCCTCCCACCCTGTGTGTAGGGTGGGGTGGGGTTATTTAGTTTAGAGCCAGGAGATCTCAGCTCTGGTTTACATGAAGCCTTAGACAAAGCTGTTTGTTCCACTTTTTGATGTCCCCATCAATAAAATGAGACATTAATTAATCAGGGCCAACTCCTCTCTGCACCTTGGTAGACACACTGCTGCTGGCTGGTGGATTGTGAGAACACTCTATGGTCTTAGGTTTGTTGAGCCTCAGTTTTCTTACCTGTTTAAGGGGGGTAATCCTTATAAGGGTGGGTCAGGGCTGCAGTGGAAAGGGGAGTATTAGTTGCTCAGTCGTGTCCAACTCTGTTACCCCATGGAGTGTAGCCCACCAGGCTCCTCTGTCTATGGGATTTTATAAGCAAGAATACTGGAATGGGTTGCCTTGTCCTTCTCCAGGGGAATCTTCCCAACCCAGGGATCAAACCTGGGTATCCTGCATTGCAGGCAGATTCTTTACTGTCTGAGCCACTAGAGAAGCCTGGAAAGGGGAAGGGGTGGTCAAGCCCCGAAACCTTGGTCACCAATGCAGATTAAGTGTCTACTAGGTGCCACACCCGGCTACGAGGACTCTGCCAGTTCTGCCCTCTTTGTTTCCCCTAACCAGGAGGAGGAGCCAGTGGAACCAGTTTACTGAGATTCAGAGACTCTGGTCAGGGCAGGTTAGTTGGGGTGTGGGGCCACCTGCTGGTCACCTGGTGAGTATTCAGTAGACACCTACTGTGTACCAGAGCCTGAGGCATCTGTGGTCCTGCCTAGGTGGAGGGGGAGACCACAGCATCATAACAAATGGCTGCCATTTACTGAGTGGCTATTGCATGGCAGGCCCACTTGGGTGCTTTGCCTGGATCATCTCACTTAGTCCTTACATTCCCATCTCACAGATGGAGAAACTGAGCCCTCAGTCTCAGCCGGAGGTGGGTCAGAGAAAGGGATCCTACTTTCGGCTGGGGACAATCATAGAGGGCTTCAAGAGGCAGTGACGTGAATTTGAAGGACAAATCTGGATAGAAGAGATTTGGGAAAAGGGCATTCCAGCTGGCAGGTATAGGGTGAGGCAAGGTGAGGAGGCAGGAATGGGATGTGCCGTGTGAAGACCAGAGAAAAGTCTGTTTAAAGAGTGAGAGGCAGGAGGTCTCTCATTTTCTCACTCCATCTCCTGCAGGAAGTCAGGGTGGGGGCCTTAGGGGTGAGAAGTGGGTGCCTGGTGGCGGCTTCTCTGTCTTAGTGCTCCCAGGCCAATCTTGTGTGTGGAGGTTACATTCCCTCCTCCTCATATCCAAATCTCCCTCTCCTAGAGGGATACCCTGTTCTCAGTCAAACAATCTGTCCACATCCTGTTGCTGGTATGGCCTTTTCAGATGGTTCCAGAGTTGAATCTTTTCAGACTGGCCTCCCTGGACCCTCAGGATGTGGCCTGTGCTTCCAACAGAGCTATTTTCTCTGTTGTATTTTCTTCTGAGGTTTAATTTGAACAAGGGTTTATGTGCTTATGGGGGACTTCCCTGGTGGA